CGGTATTATCAACTCAAAATATTTACTCTTTTAATTCTTGAAGACTCTTTGAACAAGTTAATTATACTCATCTATTTAAAATAAACTAAAAAAAATAAAAAGCTTACAAAGAACATATTTTAATTGCAATTGGAAATTTAAAAAAATTTGCGACGCGCGTGTAAAATGAGATAACTTCACACTGAGACAAATTTCCGGGCTTTATCCGTTCAAAAAGTAACAAACGGATATTTCTGATTGATTTTGGGATTTTCGGATTTATAAGACTATCCGATCAAATCTTAGGACTATCCGATCAAATTTATCGGATAGTCCTATAAATCCGATAAATTTGATCGGATAGTCTTATAAATCCAATCAAAATCAATCGGAAATATGCGTTTGTTACTTTTTGAACGGACATTTTTCTCAGTGATTTGATCCAAGTTTTCAAAAATACTTAGACAATATATATTCAAAATTAAAACATATAACGTTTCAGAACGTCTTTAAGACATCTTCTGTTCAGATTTAGAACATGTATGCTGTCTGAGCATTGTCAAAATTTGAGCTAAAATTATCCCGATTTTAGACCAAAATAACTCTATTTTATGACAATGGGTTTCATGTTTGGAAATAACTAAACAGTAAAAACAAAAATTACCTCAAGTACTTATACATCTATTTTTTATGTTTCTATTATATATTTAGATGATAAATATGAAAACATGTTATTATTTTAGTATTTTATCGTATACACCGAAAAGCTTTCAGTCTATTTAATAATTTAAAGAGTTTTCTTCAAAGATAAAATGTTACTTCAGTCTAAGCGGTACTTGGTACTTATTAATAATATTCATATGTAAATTTTCAAATATATTTTTCAGTTGTATAAATTGTGCGGTTCGGTTTGTTAATTAGACTTAAAATGCAGTCATAAACTAAAGTTGAAAATAATACAAATCACATTGTTTATTAATCCAATAATAATAATAAGAATCTTGAAACATTGCAAAATTTTCAACAAATTGAATCGGCGCGTAATTTATAAAACTGAAAAATGTATTTCTAAATTTACATTAAAATATTCTAAGCATCTGCTCCAATTAAATATAAAATTTTTCTTTTATTTGTGTTCTTACGTATCGTGTTATTCACTTATCGGTCCATTTCCTATTTAATATTGTTTCTTCAGAAAGTTTTCATATCGTCATTAAGATAAACCGTCTCATTCCTAAGATAAACGTTTTATTTATTGCTTCTCGTCATAGACTTCATCAAACTATAAGAACACCTTCATATACTCTAAAGTTTCGATATTCTTAAAAGATCTTGCACGTGTATCTCACGATCGAGAGGTCGAAATAATGGTTAACATTGTTGCTTTTTCTTCACCATACAAAAAATTAACAAAAATTTACTGAAAGAATTTACTTCAATCACACCGTGTTACGAGTATTATTTTCCGGTTTAGTTGTGGTGTTACTTCTGGCAATAGTATTCAGTACATTTGGGAATGTACATGTAACGAAGACGTTGTCAGCGACTCCTGTTCCGCTAATGCAAGGAGTTTTATCTAACGACCTTCGTTTGTGCGCAGATCAACCGAGTTTTCCAAGAAACTCGAAGAGAAGAAGAAAGAAGAGTTTTCCGAGTTTTCGAAGATCATTGAAAAAGAAGAAGATAAGTTAATTCAAAGCAAATCGCGCAAAGATCAAAGCTCGACGATAGAAATGCAAAGGAATCCGTACTTGGAAGTCCTCCCAAAGTGAAAATACCTTTGCTCAACGAGGGAAATTATTCATCGAAAGTATCGATCAGCTCACTTCTTATTTGGATTATAAACCCAAAACCAAATTACTGAATCAGCTGAAAGCTCTCCTAAATCCAAGATTAATACAACTGAACCAAATGAAAACAAAAAACTCGAAACCAATATCATTGAACTAACTGAAAATCGCAAACCCAAGAGTAATACTACTAAACCAATCGAAAATAAAAAATCCAAAATTAATATCACTGAAATAACCAAAATCACAAACCCAAGATTAATACTGCCGAAGTAATCAAAGATCACAAAAATCTTCGCTATCTTTCGATGACGTCATGACATATATATTTTTCAATGTATTATCTTTCATAATTTAGACGTCATTACATTTCTCGGTATACTAATATGAACGTTCTATAGATTACTTCACAATCCTGAATATACTCTTAGATCTCTTATTGCCAGAAGGATTTAATATGTCTGACAAATTTTGGAAGAAAGAAGAATATTTAAAAGATTTGAAGGATCCCTGCGATAAAGCAAAAGAGACGAGCGTCCTTCGATTCCAACTTAACATTATAGAAAATATTAACTATTCGAAAGTAATTGATGAAATAGACGCATGCTTGAAAGATCTGGAGCTTCGTTAACAATCAACGATAGACAAACTCAAAGACCATGGCACTTGATACTGTAAATGCTCCAAATTATTTTTTAATTAATAGTCCATTAATAAAACTCTTTCTTTCGATTGGTCAATTAATTGCTTCGAAACATCTGTAGTACCAGTAGACGCATCCACGCTGAGAATTAACCGAAGACTACTCGAGAGTTATATTATAACCAATTAAAGATCACAAACAAGTTTCTCTATTTTTTTATTTGAAGCCTAAAAGTGCACGAAAAGTAAAAATGTTAAACAAGTTTTGTAAACCTTTAGATGTGGATACACATTTATCAGTATATTATTAATAAATAAATATACTAATTATTTTAAGATCCTCCAAAATGGCTTTGGAGTAGATCTTTCGTTGCCAGAAGAATTTCATTTAATTAACTTTGAAAAATTCTGGAAGAAAGAAGAATATTAGGAAAATAGAAGGTTCGGAAGATTCGGAGGATAAGATTCTCTGCGATAAAGTAACAAGAAGTGTTTTCAAGTTTAAAGTTTACGTTATATTAAATTGAAATTATTCGGGAATAATTGATGAAGTAGAAGTAAGATAAGATTTTTATTAAACAATCAACATACAAAAATTAAACAAAAACTACGTGTATATAATCGACCACGGCATTCACGTTAAAAAATAAAAGATAAAGAATAATTAAAAAAAAACATTCTAGTAATTGCACACACTAAATCTAAAAATGAGAATGAGACTACGTGAGAGTCGTAGAATAAAATCGCGTGCATTTCACGCATTGCATTCATGCGAAAATTAATTCGTCAAGATATTATGGTAGTACTGACCACAGGAATTAGCTCAATGTAGATAAATTTTGATTTACTTGTCTTAATTAATTGTTTCCCGCAATAGCCTTTATCTTATTCGGCAGAAGTAATTACGTTCTAGATTACTTGTTCTTTTTTTGTCGAAATAAATACTTTTCATTACTTTGTAGAATAAGTACATCAATTTTCTATTAATAAGTTTTTGTTTCTGTAATTATATTAATTTTCTAATATCTTTAAAGATGTATGGAGTGTAAAGTCTTTCTACAAAAAAAGTGACTGGAATGAGAAATTTATACTTTCTGTATCAAAATAAATATATATATTACATACATACGAAATAATTTAATAAAATTAATATTTCTGTATTTAACAGTATTATTATATAATTTAAATGAAAATTATGTCTCATTTTATTTTAATTTTTAATTTTTAAAAACATGTCTAGTACATAAATTGTAATAATTTTTTATTTGTGTTCTAAATCGAGACCAAACTTTTTTATATTACTTTGAAATACAGGTATATAGAAAAATTTGTAATGTTTTCGTAATTTTTTAAATTTCGTTTAAAGAAAAAATATATATATATGTAATGCACCCTTAAAAAGAGCAAGTGTGTGTTGTGTGAAGAAAGTTTTTTAAATAAAATAGAGAATAAAATGACAATGAGAAGTTTTTCTCTTTAAACTTAAATTTTTTGCAGAACGAGTAGGAGAAACTTGAAGATATCAGATCTCTATCATTTATCATTATGTTATTTTAAGACTGAAATTTACAATTCCGCGTGTATCAAGCATAATAGTTTCTTTTACTTTCGTGTCTTATCCTTCGCGTGCTCGAGGTGATGTATTAGGATTTATTTATCTCTACGTGAAAATTAATTCCACGAAGGTCTGTTATACATATAAATCCTGCAAATCGTTGAATATGCAGAGATTGCGGAACTGAGAAACGATACATCATCGAGTAAATTGTGTGCGAATCATTCAAGCGAAAATTATATGATCGAGCAACTTGTCGATTACTATTCAGGGGTACAATTTCAAGTTCGTGAATCACTCGCACTTATTATTACTTTATAGCATTGAAAAATTTTTATCGTGATATATACACGATAGCGGCTTTTTTATTATATAAAAATAACAATGAGAATGTAATCGCTAATCCAACGTTTAACTTACGATTTGTATATTACTTTTCTAAAAATATTTATCACGAAATAAAAACGTATTATTTTTTGGCTTCCTTAAGAGTGAAGTCAAGAGTTGGTTTAGGAATTAAGCGATAAAAACATAATCTATTTTTTAAGCGAACACACAACAGCACGGAGAATCCATGGAAACAAATTCCAAAAACAATAAAATTTTTAAAATAATTATTTAATCGCATTTCGAGATTTACATTAGTTAATCAAAATTTAATAATCTCACAACTACGCACGAACATGCTTTTTGTTATTTTTAAGAGTAAATAAAAAAATTGATACAATAAAGAAAATATAGATAAAGAAAATAGATAGACGTATAAAACAGTTAATAATAATTAATTATATCACAAATGATTAACTAATTATCTCATGAGAGCTTATAAAATTTTTTTAATGAAATACTTAAAGCTTATAAAGTAATTTATATCGAGTGTGACATTATCGTCACAAATAGTTATATCACACTTCCTTTTGAATCATACAAATCTCGTACGTCCCAACCGTAACCTTTACAATTTAAATATTTGTTCCAAACAGCAAACTCACGATATTTGCGCATGATGTACGAAGAGAAAAAAATTGATTTACCTTCAGACGAAGCGAGACGAACCGTAGCATTGTTACAATTGAGTTATTAAATGAGACACGATTAGACCCGTACACGAGCAGCCAAACGCATCATTCTTCTTCGTTGCTTATGTGCACTTCCGGTATCCTTGGCCGGACAGGAAACCACCAAGACTTCCCGAAAAGGACGATCCTCGCTTCGTAGCCGCGAAAAAGTTTCGTGTCGCAGCAGATAAAGTTTTATCACGCGCACAGACCACACACAGCGTGCCCGTGGACTATCGCAATAATGGTTCCCTTGTGTCTGCCAACGGTCAACCTTGTCTCTAAATGTTTACTCAAACGTACGCGAGCGTGTTTAAAATCGTCAGTCCCATCGATCAAACCGATCCACCGCTCGACTGCGCGCTTCTCTCTCGCGAAGAAAAGCTTTAAAATACGTCCGTGATGATTTATCACGCTTTCGCGATAAATTTGTTATCAGAGAGGAAAACTTTGAACGATATCTTTTCAATTTCAAGATCAAAACGTCTGTAATTTATCTAATATTTAAAAAAAAAAACGAGAAACCGAAAGGTGTGTCGTAAGCTCTACGTTGAAATTTTGAACTAGCGGTAAAGAACCACGAATTCGGTCCAAGTGCGGCGATCGATTTTTTGAAAATACCGCGGTGGCCGACTGTGTTTTTTTTTTATTTATAATTTGCAGCACGACACACGACACGGCACGACTCTCACGAAGGTTGTTACACCACTGTCAAAGCGACGGCGTGCAGGCAAACGCCGCGCCGAGACAGTTTCGCTCAGCGCGGCCAGTCAGCTAGACGCCCCCACTCTCGACACGTCACTACCTCCTGCAGCGTGGATCTACAACAGCATCGCCGGCTGTAACACACTTTGCTGTGTCAGAAAATTTGCGATCACATATAAGAATTAAACGGAACTTAACACTTAGAACGAAAAGCAGTCATGTATGAGGCTTTAACTATATTCAGTCAATCGGCAGCTTTGTATCTCAAAAATTACGTCGATTTCTTGAATAATATCGCTTCTAAAACGCCTCATGATTCATCAAAAGTTTCATCCCACGTGTATCGAAGATAGGCGAAAGATATTATTTTGTTGTACTCTGACATTTTTTATTTGCAAGAATATTTGTAGAAGTCGCAGTACACGTGCTTTACACAGAGATTTATTATAAATTTGCTCATTGCCAACATATTAAATCTGTTCTTTATCATTTATCAAAATTTTTTTTTTTAATCGTATTTTATAAATTTTTACCTGTTTAAATTTTTTTCCAACGAATAAGTTCCTGCATTGTCATGTGCACCTGACGAGAACATGTGCGGGTATTTACGTGCCAGCTGGACAACTAGCTTTGCCCGCCGCTTTATGAGTCATTGCCCTTTTGACGTGCGATTCTTATCATTGGCGTGCGATGTTGATTCGCTAATATGTTATGTTCCGATAAGTTGGTCAAAGATAAGCTATTAGATAGAAGTAGTTGAATCTATTTCTCTGCTAGATAATCGAATTTTTAGAGACTTGTCTAGCGAATTTTACAGCATTCGTGGCTGCCACAAAAATTCACGGCCAATAAGTAAATTTATTGTAATGCTCGGATATATAAAGAAACAAGATACAAATAAAGATCCAATACTATTACTTAATATATTCCAGTATTTAAAATATCGTGTTTTAAGTTTTGATTATAACAGGAATTTTATTTATTTCTAATATAAACAGATTGACTAAAATTATCGTAAAATTATAAGGTAAAATGAGGTAATTTAGATATGTTATGTTAACAGAAATTTTTTGAAATTATATACAAAATTGAGGTCGCATAGCATATTCAATTATGCGATAAATTCATTAACGTATGCGGAAGATAAAGCAAATTGTTGTCTTTAGGACAATTTAAAAAACACAGATTATTATATATATAATGAACCATGACAGTGGCCCAAGGCTACGTGAGCAGTATGCCGATTCATTATCGGTATGATTTATCGGATAATTAGCAGAAGGAAGAACAGGTGATCATTATAGCGATCTATTACAGGTCGGCGCGGATTCCTTTTGTGCTGTAACTTTGTGACTCACGCATCGTATAAAATTGCAAGCGAATCATTATTCTCAGCAATAGTGACCTTACTGTCGTACGCTTTTATGTAAAATCAAATCTGCCATAGCACTTCAACGATTTTCACACTAGCTTTTTGCTCCAATTTGTGCAACCATCGAACTTTTTTCTCGAGAAACATCAAAGAGTATAAAATAAAGTGTCGACAAGCTTTATTCACGTTAATTTTATATAATTGTTCCTACACAATTGGAAAATTTGTATTAAATTTAATTTAACACATTTCATATGTCCCAAACAATCTACTCAAATTTTTGTGTTAATTTAATACAGGATGAGTATGTTAAAAAGTAATACAAACATTATATAAAAATTAACACAAAAAACATTTGACATAATTTAGAAACGAATTGAAGCATATTTTTTAATATTAATAAATTTTATTTGAAATTTTATTTCAAAAATAAGATACATTGAATAATGAATTTTAAATCACCCCATAACAAGTATAAATGTTAGCGATACTATGGAACACTAAACTTACAACTAAAATCATTTTATACATGTATAATTGTGAAACCAGCGAAAGAATACATAGCAATTATTTTTTCCTCGCATACATGGGTGTGTTGAGATTCCTATGTAAGTGCTCCCTATAGGTATCGTGCTATCCTTGTTTAACATTCGGACAACAAGAATAAAATGATACATGGATGGCACTTGGATGGAAATCTGAACATAGCCCATGATAAAGATGTGCTCGGCAAAGTCTAGTTTCCGTGCCATTCACTTATTAAGAAAATATTTTGTAATGGATGGAAATATTCGGCGCGGAAATTTACAATCGGCAGACTTTCGCTGCGAAAGATTCGCTTTCAGAGATTCGCGTTCCGTATGAAGAAAGAGTCAGTTGCTTCCTACTTGAAAGTACTTCGCCGACGTGCATCAGCGACCTGCCTTAATGCAACGTGCATATGTAATAGCGATTAGTGCGTGCCAGGGTACAATGACTCGGTAAACGGCGGACCGCACGCGACTGTTGCATGCGTCTTCTCGAACATACATCGCATGACAGCATATATTAAAATAAAAATATTATAATGGTGTGTGTCCGTCTGTGTGTGTTCTTTCATATTTACGGTATGACCGATAGCAAATATAAATTCAACATTAAAAATGTACATAGTTGGAAAATTTATGTCGAATTTAATACGTTTTACGTGTCTTAAACGAGACATCGCATAAATTTTTGAGTTAATTCAACACAAGATGAATGTATAGAAAGAAAGTAATACAAATATTAAAAAAGCTAATATTTTAATACAAAAAAAAATATTTTTTACTATGTAGAAATAGGTATCTCATATTTTAAGATACAGAAACTTGTATGAATTAAGATCTCAAAATCCTGGTTCAAGAGAATTATTAAAAAAAAAAGTTTTCCGAAGAGTTTGATTAATTATTATACAGTAATTTTATTTTACTTAGACATTTCCGACATATTTCGTTTTATCTCTAATAGTGCTATTTATCATAACATGTTCGATTGTTATGAAATATTACTTTGAGCTGTATGAAATTTAATTTATACATCAAGAAGATGAATTTTGCAGTACTGCAGTATAACAATTGTTATTTATACAGCTCTTCTCTCTCTCTCTCTCTCTCTCTCTCTCTCTCTCTCTCGCTTTTCGTGATTATTGTTATTAGAAAAGCGGAAGAAATTCATCCGCGTGAATTAATTTCACTCTAATTATTGAAAGAGCATCCTTTCGTATTTCAACATTGTATTATACAATCGGAGCTACGTACATGTGGGCTGCATTGTGCTTCAGTCGCATTGTTCGTTTGATGCACGGATAACTAAATACAAGTGACTATTCTGCAATTACATTGTGTACCTCTAATGTTATTCTCTACACGAATTCGAACCAATGCATTATAGGTGACATTAATTTTAAAAGACACTTTTCTTACATGATAAGAGAGAGACTCTTGTTTAATTTTCATTTATTCTATTTTATCAATCACAATTTATCTAAAATCAGTAATTTTTAATAATATCTCGATGTGTGGCTTTATATTATTGATTGTCGCTCGATGACTTACCTTATGTTAGTTAGCATCTCGTTAACTCTTGGCAATCTATATCTAGAAAATATTGTGATGCTTGGAGTTATCTAACAAAAAAAACTTTATAGGTCATAAAAAATTATAATGTGAATGAAATTCTGTACATACGTGCGCGTATGTAGATACGAGAGTAAATTGAAAAGTTTTCGACCTGATAAAAAAAAAAGAGTAAGATTTCAGTAAAATTTCAATATTTATCCAATAGATGAATGACAATGAAAAAAAACACAAAGAGCTAAGTTTAATGTCATTCTAGCGATCAGTTTGTTTCTGACAGCCTTTTAAAGTGATAATTTGCCAATAATGGAGAAATTAGATCGGCCAATAAATCAGCAGTTGCGATGGCAAAATTATATAAATTGAAATAATGAATTAATTACACATTTATCGTATACTCTAGATTTTATCCCGTGCGTCTTTGACTATTTGGAAAGAAATTTTCGTTAGACGCTGAAGTAATAATTGTCGTTAATAACTATTTTTCGGGTTTAGTTGAAAGTTATTAATCGGTTTATTGAATTTAAAACGCGACCATAAATTGAAGCTGGAAATAATATCATAAATCACATTACTGATCGTAAATCCGAGAAAAATAATAATCATCTTAAAATATTGTAAAATCTCCAACAAAAATCGAACCAGCGCGCAGTTTATAAAATTGAAAAATATATTTGAAAATTTACATATTAATATTACAAGCATCGAGAGTCGCTTTGACTAAATATAAGATTCTTTCTTTTATTTATGTTTTTTTAATTATCGTGGTATTCCTTTATCGGTCCATTTTTCATTTAATATTGACTGCTTTTAGAAGATAGTCGATACAAATGTCGTTTTATCTTTGTTATTCATTGAATATCAAGAAGAATAGACCGATGTTTATGTCGATTGTATCTCCTAAAAGGAAAGCAGCCATTGTTTCTTCAGAAAACTTTCATATCATCAAGACAAATCATTCCTGCATTCAAAGTTTTAATTACTTCTCGTCAGAGGCTTCATCGAACTATAAAAGTACCTTCGTACTCTAAAGATATTTAGATGTTCTTGAAAAGTCTTGCACGGTGCGTCTCGCGATTGAAAGGTTGAAAAGATGATTGACACTGTTACTTCTTCTTCATCAAACAAGAAATATCACAGAAAGTATTTACTTCACTCATTCACCGTGTCATACATATTTTACGGTTTGGTTGTGATATTGCTTCTAGCAATAGTGTTCATTGTATTCAGGGAAACTACAATGGCTGATTGCAGCCAGCAAAACTATCCTGAAGACGCTTCGACAACAAGCAAAATTCCATTGAAGCAGCCGCGTGTAATCGAAATCATGAAATGGTATCAGCCGATCTGTGTGATACCTGGAAAGGATGTTCTACCGTGTCTTCCTTCTCAGGAAAAAATTCAGGTAGAATACCAGCATTTACGCGCAAATAAGTCTGACGAAGGCGAATCCGGCCAAAAATTGGCGGACCTCGGCAGAATTCCGGAGTTTATCTTAAAAGCGCCTGAAATGGATATCAA